TTTCTGGATGATACATTATTCAAAACTGGCAGCTGAAAGGATCCCTTTATTACATGAACAAGTGGAAAAGCAGTAACTTTCAATTTTCATTGCTTCCAGACTGAAAAATCAAGAAATTTCTTCAAGTCTTTTGAGAGCACATAGCCAATCAGAATTTGTCCACTAGTTTTATAACTTTCACTTTCACCAAGAGGTCATGGTGATCGGCTAAGGCTCGAATTTTCTTAACGCACACTCCAGATGTAGTGCATAAGTAAAAAAGGGAACCTTTATTGAATTCTCTGTAGTTGAATACTTCTGCTCTGAGATTGTCATAGATGATCTCAAACAGAGTAAGGGCATTAATAAGAATTTCTGATTCCACATAAGAATTATAAAGGGAACTAAAGGATGATGGCACTTGGGTGCTGAGCAGTTTTTTTAACATATCTGGATTTTCAGCAAAATTCGAAAGTATTTTCAAAATCTCAACCTTGATTTTTCCACCTCCCTGAGATAGCAAACGGAAAAAGTTTGCAATGGAGTTGACAAGCAGGTGCTGGTAGTCATTGGTAATAGTCATGTTTGTTAAAAATTTTAGTCCAACTACCTGTACTGCTGAGTTCAAATTGGAGGCCATGATATCATCCATCACTTTATTCATGTATACCTGAAGTCGGCCCTGATTTTCATAGTTCTCACTCAGGTTATTCATGGCCATTAAGGCTTTTTCCTTAATGTGGGGATCAGTTTTGTTGATCATGTTTGCAATAATTGGGAGGCCTCCCAATTTGCGAATTGTGTCTTGGTTGCATGAATAATTGGCATTGTTGCTCAGAGTGAGCAAAGCTACCTGTTGGATGAAAGGATCATCCGATTTCTGAAGCAAAGCAAGGACTTTCCTGAGGTCTCGGACACCGAGAATCTCATCTATTTCATAAGGAAAGGGGCGCTTCTGCATGGGAACAGGTCTCCTCCCTCTCCCTCTCTGCTGGGTTTCAGGCTCAGAGTCTGACTCCGACTCTGTGTCAGTCCATCCGGACTCCCCTTCCTCAGAATCAGGGACCTCTGCCAGGAAAGCCTGTCCCCCATTAGCAGAGGCTGCAGCAGCTGCTGCAGCCCCATCCCCAGGGCGGAAGCCCAGCCCCAATTCATCTACTTCCACCTTGTTTTTCTTGCCCTTGCCCTTGCCCCCAGTCCGAGACCTGGTTCCCTTGGCTCCACCTTTGGGTACAGCTCCAGTCGCTGACCCGGCTTTAGGTATAGCGCCGGTATGAGCCCCGGGGGTCGCTTTCTTGGAGGGTGCTGCTGTTCTGGGGGATCCTGAAGTCCCAGGAGCCTCTGCAGCCCCGGAAGGCACTGCTGCCCCAGAAGGCACTGGCGCGGCAGGAGGGGTTGCGGGTACAGGAGCCTCCGCAGCCTCTGTAGGTGCTGCCGCCTCGGTAGGCACTGGCGCCCTGGGAGGCACCGCGGGCGCCCCGGGAGCCTCTGCTGTGCCAGGGGCTTCCGGCAGCTTGGGGGCCCTTGCCACTGTGGGGGCCGCTGCAGCCACGAAAGCCTCTGCCTCCCCGGGGGGTGGTGCCATTGAGGAAGCCGCTGTGGCCCCGGCGACTGGTTCGGCCCTAGGCCCAACCCCTGCCCCTTCTGCCTCCTGGACCTGATTTCCGGCCCCACTCTGAGCCTCAGCACTGGATGCAGCTGGGGCCACTGCCTCAGCTCCAGCTGCGTCCAGAGCAGAGGCTTCATCCTGGGCCCTGTCCTCTGCCCGAGTGCGGACTGGGGTTGGAGGACCGAATCCCGGCCCCAGGTCAATGGTGAATCCGGCCCTTAGTCCGGCTCTAGCCCTGGCTCCAGTCCCAGCCACAGCCCTGGTCTTGGGCTTGGCCATTCTCTTCTTTGTCTGGTTTCTTCCCCTGGCATATTTGTAGACACAGTACCAGGCACTAGCTCCAATCACTATCCCCGCGGCGACGCAGCCAGCATCTCGAACTCGGCTCATGGTGCAGCTGGAGTAATTCTCTGATCCAGGGCGTGGAGCTGGCTTGCCTAAACGGGATGTGTGCACGTCTGGGCGAGGCACTTCCACTCAGGCTCACAGGTTTTCCCCAGGCTGCAAGCCGAGCAGGACCTGGGAGAAAGAACAGAAATGAAACTTAAGGCTCTGGCTCATTTTGTGCTTAACCAGGCCTCCGAAGAGGAGAGCTTGGAAACAGAATGCTTGGTGAGTGGGCTAGTACCCAGACACAGGACCCAGGTTGTCTAAGGTTTTCTATACCTTCATCCTTAGCTGGCCCTACCCAATGCCAATACACAATTTCCCAGCACCTAAATGGGGGATGAGAGGCAGTACGGACATTAGGAAAAATGGTGGGGAGCAGGAAAAACAGTAGAGACCCCAGATGTTGCTCTGATTCCTCCCCCCCCCCCCACAGGCACCCCCAAGGGTTCCGAGATGGTGCTCATGCACATACCGACCTGCTGGGAGCAGGAGCAGTTAACTTTTTTCCACCAGGCTTGTACTTGTGCAGGGCCCCAAATTCAGACAGACCTGCAGACAGAGCCCAGAAAGGGTGTTTTGGGGTCGTTGGTGGATGGATTCCATTTCCTTTCGTGATTTGAATCCTTATGGGCCAAGTTCTCCCCTCTCAGGGATCCTCTTTCCCTCCTTAACCCTTCCTCCTCAAATCAGTAGTTAAGAAGGCGGATGCCACACCCCTTTCTCTGCACCAAAAAGGACAAGCCCGAGGCAAGGGTGTCTTGTAAAGAGGGAGAAGATGGGGGAAGAGGAGCCTCTGGTGCCAGACTCTGCTCTGGTTTCTGCCATACCCACACCAGGGGTTCCCAGTTTCCCCCGCCCCCCCGCCCCCCGCACTGACCTCCAAGGATTCAGGGCTGTTTCCTCTTCCCTCAGTTCAGTGAAAGCTTCATCCTAAGGACAGACTGAAGGGCAGAAATATAGACACCAGAGGTTGGAGACTGAGAGCCCGGTGGATGGAGACCCAGCACACAAGTCCCCATAATTGCCTTCTAGCATTCGCGTACCAGAATGACAACCTCTCAATTCCCTCAACTCTTCTTGCCCCTCCCATTCCACACCAATCTCCCCCCTCCTGCGCAGACTCCCCAGGCACTCAACCCCTCCTTCCTTTTGCCCCGCCCCGCCCGTCCGCCATTTCTCCGGGACACACAGCCACACCCCTTCTCCTGCACCGAAGCGGGAGGGGGCGGGGCGAGGGTGCAGCAAAAGCTGGATGGGACGCGGGATGAGGGATTACTGCCCAACAATCTAGTGTCTTCCTCCCACGACCACCCGTCCTTCAGTCCCCAGCCCCCAGACCTAGCATAAGCCTGCAGAACAGGGGCCCCGATGTCTGACCTTTCGGTTCGAGGGTCGTGATTTTCCACTGTTTCTCCGTCCTGGGCTCCGCCTCCCACCCCCCACCCCCAAATTCCCTAATAACCGCCATGTCTCCCTCCAGCGTACCAGAACTCCTTTTCCAGGACTGAATAAACGGGGGTGAAGGGCTGTGTGGGTTGGAGGTGTCTGGAAAGCAGTCTGGGAGTTAGCACAGCGGTTTAATACCAGATTCTCTCAGGGTCCCCCCCCTCCTGTGAAGCCCAGACAGCGCCAAACCCGCCATCTCCCCTCCAGAGGCTGGCACACCCATTTTCCAGCACCCCCAAAGGACAGGGGGCCGGCCGGGGGCGGGGGGAGAAGGGAAAGTGGAGGGGTGGTCGGGGGAGGTATCAGCAAAGTGAGGGTGAGAGTGAACGGGCCGGGCCGGCTTGTTTCCAAACTGCGTCCCCTCCGGTCACCCTTGCCCAACCACCCCGCTGGCCTTATATGCGCTGCCACGTTTATTTCTCTTCCCTCCTCCTCTCAAAACAGGACGGGATGTGGGGTGCGGGGCCTGAGTGTCAAAAACAAAACCAGAAAACACTGACTGGGAGAGGAAGTAAGCGGATTCTCCGCAAGTATATCCGAGGCTTTAGGTCCCCCCCCTCCCCCTCTCCCCGCCGCCCACCAAAATGAGCTGCGACTGAGCGCGGGGATCTGGAAAGCCGGCCAGGAGCGGGCGAGGCAGAGGCACCCGCGCGGCCTCAGACTCCCGCATCTCTGAGCTACCCCTTTCAGGAGTGCCAGGCTATGCCCACCCTCACACCCACCTGCCCGGATCTGGGGGAATTTTCTCCTCCTCCTCCTCGCCTGGGTTAAACGCACGGCAGTGCGCAGCGCAAGAGAGCTGGTACCCAGAGGAGGACGGAGGACGGCAGTCAGGGCTTTAAGTACCTTTGCCCACGTCAGCTCCTGGTCACGTGAGAGCTGCATCGCCAGTAAGCGTGGGTCCCTAATTTCCACTCCCACCGAGAGCATGAGCCCCCTCCTTTAGCCCCACTCCCACCTCACCCCACCACATCAGGTCCTGTCACTCAATTTTTTTTTTTTGTCTTTGAAGTCCCAGAGGCCAAAAGTAGCCCCTTCTCCCTGTGTTAGAATTTGCCTTTTTCTAGATACCGGGATGGGATGCATCCTCTTGGAGGGCTATTGGCAAGTTTTACTTTTTTGTGTGTCTTTCATTCGTTTCATTCTTTCCTGGGCAACTGGACACTCCCCCTTCGCTCCACCTTCAATCCCCCATCCACTGGTGCCCACCGTTTCCCTTGCAGTTGGGCCCCTGTTCCCCTATAGGTAAGAGGCAGAGGGTCAGAAAGGAGACAAGGAATGGGAATGGGGTCTGTATTTTTGTAACACTTCTCCGATTTGTTTTTAAAGCGATCACCACCCTTTATTATTACAGTAAGAAAATACCACAGTGCGGGAAGCAGCAACAAAAACGAGCTGCATGGTTTATAGAGAAGATTTCCCACTAATATTGGAAGGCACCATTAATTTTAGTTAATTTTTACCACACAGAAAATGAATTCTATTGGCCCCATAGGAAATAGTTTTCAAAACATGCTAAGGTATTTGAACATCTAAAAATGGAATTTTCCTCAACAAGATAAGCATGTTTTCATGTGATCTATAAATTGATCCATGGAGAGATGTTCAGTTGTCCAATCTTATTTATTTTGGACAAATAATATCCTACTTTTTCTCCTTCTGGGACAGCTTTTAAGTTGGATAAATAAATGATCCTGTCTTGTTCTGTTAGAGAAATACATTTATTTAATGTTCCCAAACCATTGCTGACTGCTGTGTGAACCTCCTGTAATTTGATGGCTGTAACCATGACAGTTTTGAACACCTGTCCCTGGATTAGGTTCCAGTTTCGTGATTCAGCTCCAGGCAAAAAGAAGAGCTGTTAGGCCAAAGAAAGGACGAAAGTGAGGGATGCAGAGATGGCCAAATTCCCCGTTTTGTGAAGGGTGCTGGAGGTGCTGACCCTCCACCTCCCCCTGTATTCCAGAGCCTCTTATTCCCTGCAATCAGCCACTTGACTCTGTCGCTCACTCTAAAAGTACACATGGACAGGTGACCAAGATGGTAAACACCAGGGGACCAAACTGAGCCATTGTCTCTGGCTTGTTTCTTCCCTTTCTCCCTCCCTCCCCCCAAATTCCCAGGGATGTGACTCAGGGATACATAGAAGGGACTGCTGTTCCCACATAGCCCTGCAGCTGTGGGTTTCCATGAAGAAGTAATTGCTGCCTGGGGGAAGCCCCCAGGTCGGCCTGCTCTGCCCTCATTCACGGGGCCTTAGTTAACATGGCTCCTAACACCACAGCTGCTACCACCTGGCTTGAGAGGTTCAGCCAGCTGGGCCTCTTACCCCTGGCCTCCTCGCCACAGGGCACCCCGGGAGAACCTAGCCTTGCTGCAGGGTCACTGCCTGCAGCCCACGCCCCCTTTGCAGCTCCCCTCAGCCAAATGTATGCCGCGGCCCCAGGGAGTCTCCCCACTGAGCATACTGATTAACCTAGACTGGACTTTCTCAACTGACCACTTCTGTGCTGTACCTGGAATGGTACACAGGGTTTTGTTTGTGAGTGTATGTGTGGCTAAGTGCATTTTTGGGGGGAGTGGGATTGAGGTCACTGACCCCATCAGTTTCTGAAAGGGTCTGTGACTGCTCCCCTAGATATTAAGAACTGATACAATGGCCTAGAGAGTGTTATATATAATAATCCTGATTAGGAAACTCTTGTTTTTTTTTTCTTTTCTGTTGAAAAAAATAACATATATTAATGGTTAAACATATTCAGAATAATCAAGAAATATATAAAGTATACAGAGAAAGAGCTCTGTGATATCTTCCACTCTCAGCCACTGCTAACAATTTCCACTGTCCTTTATATGCACATATTAGTAGGTGCACTTGTGGTTATTAATCTAGTTCCAGATTGAGCAACACTAAACACATAATAAGCATTTGGAATTTGTATTGTAATTGTAATAAGTCTGCAAATTAATTTGGAAAACAGTAACATCTTAAAATTGAGACTTCCCCTCCAGGAATATGGTATGTTTCCATTTTGTTCAGATCTATTTTTATGTTTGTTAATGAGATTTCATAAGTTTCTTCAGCTAAATAATTCCTATTACTTGTTAGGTTTTTCCTAGGTATTTAGTAGTCTTTGTTGCTGAAATGCTATTCTTTGTCCAGTTGCAATTTCTGATAGAGAATTTTCTGCTTGAGGAACATGTTCTACTATTATATATTTATTTTGTATCTGCCAATTTTTGTGATCTATCTTATTAATTCCAATAGTTTTCAGGTGATCCTTTGGTTTTTCCACGTATTTATACATGATCATCTGCAAATGATGATTTTTTTTAATTTCTTCCCTTCCAATATTTATACCTTTTTTCTTTTCTTTTCTGCATGTGCTACATTGATCAGAACCTCCAGAACTCTGTTGAGTAATGTGGTGCCCGAGAGCCTCCTGATCTTATTCTTGAAGAAAATGGGAATGCCTCTTTTGTTTCATCATTTAGTGTAACTTTTGCTGTTTCTGACATATTCTCTCCTTTTTTCTTTTTCTTTTTTTAAACATGTATGAGGAAATGTTTTAATAGTGAGGAGAGCTCTTAAAACATTTTCAGGTTGACAATTTTGCCATAAAATTAAATTACTAAAGCCTCATAGAACATTTGAAAAATACAAAAAAAGACACAAATTAATATTCCCCATAAAACTTCCATGTAGAGATTGCCACACTTTGATGTCTTCAGATCCAAGCTTTTTCTCCATGCATTAAATAATTGCATCATTGAGTTCCAATTTTCAGATAGTTTCTGATTACGAAAGTACTTGCCCATTGTAAAAATGCAGTAAAAGATAGACTAGGAAAGACAAATTACTTATGGCCTTTACTACCTGAAGTGCCCCCAACAAGGTTCTCAATGGCGAAAACCAAAAAGTGATACTGGTTAGGGAGAGAAGGACATAACTGGAAAGACTGGAAAGAGGACACATTGTCAATAAGGAGTTGTATTTACCAGGGTTATTCTCTCCCTTTTTTCAAGGTTATTTTCACTTATGTTTACCAGTACTGCAAAAAAAAAAAGCAATACAAAGAAATAATGTCAGTGAGTGGAGCCAAGTCATAAGTTCTGTGGTCTTGGTAGCCCACAAGGAGTGATGAATCTGCCAGGTCAGAAGATCGTCTGATATATTCCTTATCAGGATAAGGATATTTTCTTTTATATCTGATTTAACATAACCAAGAATGATTTGTTAAATTATATATAATTCTTTATTGCATAAACTAAGTTTCCTCCTATTCCTATTTTACTAACAGTTTTTTAATATTCAGGAATGACTAAGTTTATCAAACACTTTACTTGAAAGGTTTCTTTTCTCCTTTGGTTTGCTGTTGCAATGAATGATTTAGATTGACTGGGTGATTAACATAACATAATAAAAAAAGTGTATAGATTGACTGGGTTCCCTGCCACTCTAGTATGCTATAGTCTATTCTCAACACATCCCTCAAATTCAAACTCTGCTCTCCCCCACCCCCACTTCCCCTGATGTTTAGAGTAAATGCAAATGTCTTTACTATAATTTACAAGACCCTACTCTCTTCAACCTCATTATCTCTCTGTTTCATCTTCTATTATTCTCTCTCTAGCTCAGCCATCTTGGTTTCCTTGATGTTCTTGGAATATACTGGGCTTGTTTCCTTCACAGAGCCTTTTCATTTCCTTGTTCTCCTGCCTAGGATATTCTTACCCAAAATATCACCATACTTAGATTCCTCATTGAATTCAGGTCTTTACTGAAGGTTTCCTTCCTAGTGATTCCTTCTCGGGTCACACTAAGTGTTCAACCCATCTCAACTTTTCATATCGTCCTTTTTGCCTTTATTTTTTCTCTTTGTAGTAGGTATCACTAACAATAATATACTGCATATTTTTTTTATTTATCTTGTTTGTTGTTTGTCTCTCTGACTACAATGTAAGGACCATGAGAATAGAGATTGAGGTCTTTTTTATTCATTGCTGTAACCACAGCAATAAGAGCAATGCATGGCATGTAGTAGGTGCTCAGTAAATGTGTTGAATAAATGAACGAATGGCTTTCGAACATTGAACAACTCTCTTGCATTCCAGAAATAAAGCTTACTTGGTTATACCAGATTAGTAGATTTGTAAACCCTCTGATTCACTAAATCAGGATCTTGTCATGTGACAAGTTGTAGAAGAAATTAAGATTGATTTGAGTGGCATGTGCAAAACTCATTATGCAGTAAGTATGATTGTTTATGATATGTCATTTTTAAGTGAATCTTTTTTTAAAATATTTTATTTATTTATTTGACACAGAGAGAGACACAGCGAGAGAGGGAACACAAGCAGGGGGAGTGGGAGAGGGAGAAGCAGGCTTCCTGCTGAGCAGGGAGCCCCATGCGGGGCTCGATCCCAGGACCCTGGGATCATGACCTGAGCCAAAGGCAGACGCTTAATGATTGAGCCACCCAGGCGCCCCTGTGAATCTTTTTTTGTTAAATGAATATAGTTCTATCATATTTTCTGATAATAAAAAGGATGCATACTTAGTGTTTTAAAAAAGGAACAGAACAGTGCTAACAAGAAAATAACAAAATTCATTTTTTCTTTCCGCTCCCTTTCGTGACATCCCTTCCCCCATCCCCATTTCCAGGCATTTTCAGGACTACAGACAAGAACCTTAGGGATTCCAAAAGAAACAAGGCGGAGGGAGCAAATGATGGGACCATTCTCCCAGAGAAGCAGTAGAATTGGCCAGTAGCCCAGGGGAAGATGCTGCCCCTTCCAGTAATC